CTTTTTCAAGGGCAGATGCCGCCGCCTCGGCCTCGGCGCCAGCGCGACCGCCATTTTGGCGCCTCCGGCCGGTAGTTCGTGCTCGGCGTGTGAGGTGTTGTTGGGCAGTGTTCATTCCCTTCCAGTTTTATGCACCCATCTCCGCATCACCATGCCCGGCTGCTGCGTGCCGCAGTGCTCGAATCACTCGAGAAACGGATGGAAGTTGTACCGGTTTCCAAGAGACCCAAAAAGAAGGCTTCTTTGGACCAGTTAAAATCAAACGAGACAAGTGGCAACCGACTAATACTTCGCACGTACGCAGCGTAAGTAAACATTTTTTTTTTTTAGTGCATCGTATTCTGACTCAATCTCCAGCTGCAGTTAAAACTCCCCTAGAGACCCCACAAAACCACACCGTTCCTGAATCTACACGGCAAGGAACATCGTGTTATGGACACGACACCATGGAAGTTGACGACGCCGTTGTTGAACTGTCAGCCAACACTAGTGATGCAGATTCAAGAGAAGTTAATGCAGCGGCTGGTGAAACATCAAATTCTACTGCAGAATCAGCAGAACTGAAGAGGAAGCTTGCTGACCTTACAAGAGAGTACTCTGAACTTCAGCAACATCATGACACCGCCAAGAACACCATTAGTGGTCTCAAGAAAAAAGTGCAAAAACTCGAGACTGAGGCAACAAATATTTCGCAAAATATGAAATTTCTCAACGACGATCAAGCACGCGCTCTCTCAAGGAGCAGCAGCTTGGGGAACTCTTGGTCTCCGCACACTGTCAAGCAAGGCCTACAAATTAAGTTTGCTTGTGGAACAACCGGATATGAAACTTTGAGAAAAATGGGATATCCTCTCCCATCCAAAAGAACGCTCGCACGGAGGATTCAAAATTTGAAGTTTCTCCCAGGTGTTCTTCACAAAGTGATAGACGTTATGAAATGCAAAGCCGAGACCATGGAGGATGTAGAAAAGGACTGCGTCCTTTTTTTTGGATGAAATGGAGATAGTGCCGGGGTTTGAGCTAGATCGGGCTGAAGACGCACTTCTCGGAGAAATAACTCTTCCTCCGAAGCCTGAAGAGCCTGCGGTTCATGCTCTGGTATTTATGTTGGGCGGACTTGACCAGCGCTGGAAGCAGGTGATTGCATATGAATTTACCGGAAGAAACATCGATGGCGGCTTGCTGAAAAACTATGTGTTGGAACTAGTACAGCTGTGCAGTCAAATATCTCTGAGAGTTCGCGCAATCACATGTGACATAGGCTCGGCAAACCGCGCAATGTGGAGGGAATTTGCCTTTTCCAGTCACAGAGATTCTTCCACGGTGTGCTCCATACCTCATCCGTGCATAGGATGGGAAGGAACTTTTTTTCATTGCTGATCCGGCTCACGTCTTGAAGAACCTCAGAGGCCAGCTCTTGAGCTCAGAAGTTTTCACGTTGAGTGAGGCCACAGTTGCCAAACATGGCCTGCCTTCTTTACAAGTCAACTTGGAATATGTTCAGGCTGTGCTCGAAGAAGATTCTAAAAGAGAACTGAAGGTAGCCCCAAACTTATCCGAAATGCACACCAGCGCAGGCCACTTCACCAAAATGAAGGTTGGTGTCGCTGTACAACTTTTTCGGGAAGCTCCCCCGGCGCTCAGATTCCTTATAAAGGAAGGAGTTCTTAAACAGGAAGCAGAAACAACAGCTTGGTTCATGGAGCTGATTTCAAAATGGTATGCACTGATGTCTTTGCGGCATCCAACACTGGCCCTGAGTCGGAGAAGTAGGGCTAAGTACTCCGAAGCCCTAGATACATTACACACAGCAATGAAAACCATCAGAACTATGAAAATGGGTGCCACATCCCATTGGAAACCGTCGCAAGCAGGCGTACTCATATCAACTACAGTTGTACTTCGCCTCCAAGACGTTCTTTTAGGAGACGAAGGCTATGAGTTTTTTCTTACGAGCAGGCTCCTGCAGGACTGCTTAGAGAACCTCTTTTCTGTGGTGCGGCTTATGAAGCCAGTTCCCAATGCCTACGATCTCAAGTACGCTCTGAGACTTGTGAGCGTAAGCCAATTTTTGCATACACAGAGGACGACCAGCTACGAGCTTGATGACAGGGAGTACCTGGTGGACCTGCTATCCCAGGGGAAGGAAGCCTGAGTCGAGAAGGAAGCTCAAGAAATCGATGATTCAGAGATTTTGTTCATCAAAGGATTGTCGTCCACAGAATGCAGTATCCTCTTTTACCTAGGAGGATTTATTTTGAAGGGAATTTTGACATCTGTGAAATGCGCAAAATGCAAAGATGCTCTCTTTGGAACTGCCAACGACGGGCATGCTTCGCTGACAGCGCTGAAGGAGTACGTTTCAGATGGAGGCAACCTCATCTACCCCAGCAAGGGAGTTATGAAAGCCTTGATAGACTATGAGGAGCATTTTGCAGCCATAAACTCTTGGTGCACGGACAAAGTAGTCACGATGAAGTCGCCGCTTCGTTCACTCACCGCATACCTAAACAAGGTGCACCGCCGCAGCTTGTGTGTATGCGCGGAGCACGAGGACAGTATATACCGACTGCTCACAGAGAGGTACGCAAGAATAAGGCTGCGCATTCACCTTCGGCAGGTTCCAGTCGGGAGTTGCAATGGACATGCAAGCAAAACATGTGCCGGCGTCAACCTCTCATGAGAAATGGACACGCCAAGATAAGCTGTATGCTTAAAAGGTTTCGGCTCACGTGGGCACGCTTTTGACTCTTGCATTTTTATTTTTAAACATTTCATTTCGTACTGCATTTGGTTTGTCTTGTATCTGACTTTGATTTTCACTAGTGAAACAGCGCAGCATTAAGGCGCACAAATAAATGGCCTGTTTACTGAAATCGTGGGTGTCGTTTCATAAACGTAGACTGGTAAAGCATGTTACTCTCGGGTATGCTGCCTGCACAGTGCATGAAATGGTGAGGCAGGGGAAGTTGGTACCGAATGTCAGATAATGGGTGTGTGTGTGTGTGTATACACACACACACACACACACATACACGCAAGTATATAAAGTACAGCGATTCCTGCCTTTGCTATTCGGCTGATTCACAAAGACCCAAATATTACATTCCTTTCAGCAAGCGTAGTAATAAAAGTCTTAACGATGACAATGGTTTAACGCGAAGCTTTCTGGTGTGGGAGTTCGTGGCTCATTTCATCTCGCACACAAAGATTCATGTTCAACCATCGTTGTCGTTAGGCGGAGGAGTACGTGAATTTTTTCATTTCGCATGTTCATGCACCCCTCTCCAAATTCAATCTTCGAGAGAGTCGAAATAGTGCTCTCTGATAAGCGTCGGGTTAAGAATGCGAGGGACCCAAGTTCGATTATGATTGCTGTAAGCGTTTTTTTTTTTTCTTACATTTCACGAACGATCGTTGACGTCGTCAGAGAAAGTTGGCTTTCCTGCAGGGCGCTAATACGTCATCCGGAAGACGTAAAAACCTTCGCTTTAATTATGTAGCTCTCATTTCTTCTTAACAGGATATTTGCACCGTACTACGCCTCGGCACCTCACCTCTGGGCATGGGGACCTATTTCAGAGTACAATACATATAAAGCCATTCATAATAAATTAGTAATTGCTTGTAAACAGCAAAATATGCCTCCAGAGCCACAATTAGGTAACTTCGCAACAGTGAAATCTTCGTTGCGATACATAGGCTGCTGCCGACATGCCTATAAATGCTTTAAACGATCCTTGGTGCATTTGAAATTCAGACTGCCCCAAGAAAATAGGTACGCTCTTAAGCGTATCGAAAATCTCTTTTCCGCCCCAGAAAATAGAGCTCGTTTATAAAATAATGAAGTCTATGTCAGCCCCTGGCGCATTGTACAAGCACAGGCCGCCAGTTTGTATGACGTGCGTTGTTCCATTTAACAATTAGGCAACAACAGCACTAAGAGGTGTCCAAGTTGCACCAAAAAAAAAAAAGCTCGCCAACGAGTACTTCTTTCCTACCATACGCGAGCACCGCAAGCGGTAGTGCGCTTCGCATGCTGCCCCACTATGGCGGGAGCCGTAATGGCGGCCGTCATAGCAGACGACGCGCCTGTCCTCACCCTCAGCGGAGCGCGCAGGCATCAAGGCACCCTAACTGGCGTTAGTTCTAGAGACCTACAGGTACAGGCGTGCATCAGGCAAGCAACAGTGGCCATTGCAATCACTTGGCGCACATCACGACGGCCACGATTTTACTTCCGTGATTTTAAGCCATGTCGGGACCGCGCAGGCAGTACTCGGCTGCCTTTAAGAGGAAAGTTATTTCTGCTGCCGAAACCATCGGCAAATGTGCCGCGGAGCGGCAGTTCGGCGTGAATGAGCAGAGCATTCGCGGTTGGCGGAAGCAGAAGGAAGCCCTTTTTGCATGCTGCGGCAAGAGAAAAAGTTTCCGGGGACCGAAAAATGGAGCATTTCCAGACGTGGAACAAGAACTGACGGACTTTGTTCGGGAGCAACGAGCTGCACAACTCGCTGTGCACATCGAGCTGCTGCAGGCAAATAAATGCATTTTTTCTGTTTTCCTGGAACAATATTTGCGTGAAAATGTTTTTTCTCGCGTTTGCTATCCCCGAGTTACACCTCGAACTATACGCGGGTCCGAACTATACGCGGGTTTTTACGGTACCAAAAAGCGATTGCCTGTACATCACCAACATGGCATTCAAATAAAAACTGCACAGTAGGAAATTGACAAGTCTACAACAGAAACCATTAATTAAAATATCCAAACGGTATTGAATAATACTGAACACACCTTTTAATGTGTTTGCAAAAGTTCCCTTAATTCATGTAATAACAGAAGCAGAAAATGAACTTTACCAAATTAAAATAACAAAAAATATTTAACCAGGACGGAGAACATTTCACTAAAGCCCCATCTCTCGACCAATGGGCAATTCATCCAGCGAATCTAAAATCAATAAGATGTAACAAATATAAAGGAATCAGACGACTTACTCTTAGCAGAGAGGTCAGCGTCTGTCATGCTGTAGCCGTTTTGACAGGTTTCACCCGGATGCGCTCCAAGACTAGAAATGTAGACGTATCATGCAATGAACCTAAAGAGAACATGAAACTGTTGCCCTCCAAGTGTGTTAGTTGACAGACCTTCAAAAAATGAACCAAGTCTGGTATGCACAAGTAATGAAACAAGCAAAAGAAAACACTTCGGAGAAGCCTTACTAACTACATCCCTAGATGTATCGAGCTAAGCACCTAGAAGGCAGCTACGGGCACAGTGTAGATGTAGCCATAGCTGCCTTCTAGGTATTACTAAAAAAAATGTTGAGAGATGCTCAAGAAAAATCGAGGCAGTTTCACTCATACAAGAATATTGATATCTGCCGGTGGGATGGAAGGAAAAAAGTGTGCACGCTGTCCTGCTTGAGAGTGAGCCCCAATCGAGTTATTTAGTAAGAGCCTGCTGCTCAATGACCATAGGCCCCTCCTGGACCCCTGAAGACATCAGGACACTACATATAGCAGCTACAGCTATGCCACTGTTACAATCATGATAAAATCATGGACTGTAAAATCTGGGAAAAAAACTTCAAAGTTCAAAACACAATATTATCACAGGCATGTTCTAGAAGGGTATCGCAGCCTAGCTTTAACAATGTTACCTGGGGTGTTACGTGCCAAAACCACAGTATGATTATGAAGCTCACTATAGTGAAGGGCTCCAGAAATTCGACTATCTGCTGTTCCTTGTGTACTAACATCACAAAAAACACAGCCCTCTTAACATTCTGCCTCCTTGGAAAGTGACCACATCGGCCAGGATTGAACCCGGAAGCTACAATTCAGCAGGTGAGCGTTGCAAGTGCTAAACCACCAAGGCGGACTCCAAACTTTAATGATCTGGTGTTAACACGCATGTAATGAGAGAAATTTGTTTATGTTTTAGTATACACATAGCCAAGCTCATAACTGCTAGTACCGGCTAATTGACATAAAACAGAGCTGCTGGCTGACACGAGTCGGATAGTATGAGAACTAAGGAGTAAAAGTTCACCTGCTCGCACCTGGTAGCATAGATCTAAAATAAACGTCTCCCTGCGTGCAAGCAGTGTGACGTCACTGGAAACACTCCACCCACCATCCTCTTTCTCAGAACAGGTACTGCTCGGCAAGAAGTTCTGCCGGCAGGATGGTTCTGCATAGCAGTGCTGCGTGTGTCGACATCCCTTCGACAGAAATTCCTCTGCTTTTTTCTAAAGTGCCAGCCTTTAAAAGGAGAATCGCCACCTATGATGCATGATTCTGTTCAATTAACACGTGGCAATTCGCTCGTTGTAGATGGCAGCCACAAAAAAAAAATCTTGTTCTTATTGGAAGCGAACGTTCTGCATGTTCACAGTGACTGGCTTTTTGAGAAACATTTGCACAGCATAGATGTGAACGTACTCAAGTTCCGTCGTGACATGTGCACTGCAGTTTTGAACAAGTTACGACATTAGCGGCAGTATGGTTTTGAGCTGCTGTGCACGAGGTCATTGGTAAGATACGCATTCACTACGAAATATTTCCTGTGCGTTAGGCTGAGGTAACGAAACCCCATGAAAATTAAAGCAAAATTCTCCTCTATAAGGCAGTCCTCATAACCCACTGATGTGATTTTAAACCAGATAACTCAATTATATGGGTGATAGATAATCTATTGTGAAATTATTTCGTTGGATCTGATGCTTACAATGTGTTTGTATACTTAATTTGCTTTTTTTAACCTGACAAACAATTGGTAATGTGCATTCTCACTTAATCAAGATCAAGCCTAAAGGTACCAAGCACATGAGCTGCTGTTTCTATTAAGACGTATGAGGTCCCAGATGACCGGAGTTATACATTTACTGGGTTAGTATATTCGCCGTGGCACATCATATATGCTGCTTCGGCAAAGGTAAAACATGCTAATAGCTCATGCGTAGTCGTATCATTCAGCCCGCAGATTAGACATTCTTTTTTTATTGCACGCGGCGCGAATGCTGATTTGTACCCAGCTGCAGATAATCGCGTCAAATGCATTTTCACCCTGACTAAAATATTGTGTAATGAAGTTCCATTGACGACTGGCTACTGTCACCTGCCCACAAGTGCCAATGTTTTCACAAACAAGACGCATCCTTATTCACACAGCAGACACAATATTCTGTTTCACCATGCCTAATGATGAACCATAACTGTCGATGCCTTTCAACGTGCACTACACGCCACAATAAACACTGCACATTTCGAAAACGATGTCGCTGTTCAATGCACAGGCTGCCACGTAGGTTCACTCCTTTAATACAAACAGTCAGCCAGCGGGGCAAGTATATTGTCACACAGTTTACCACACACACCTAGATATTCTCTGGCAGCTACCACAAGCATTTAAAAAAACAAAAAAAAACTTATACCAAACATCGCGCGACTATACCATGCTGAGGCCCCAACGGGAATGTTTAGCCAATCGCCCCTTTGCACATGCGCTGGTGACGTCGCGCTGTGACATACCCCGATAGAGGTCTATTGGCTGGCATTGCCTTCATGTAAGCTGACTGCAGTCACGACCAGTGGCGACATATCAGCCAAACAGAACGAGCCTCCTCATGCATTGTGGTAGCTTCCATGGGTTCGTTCGATCAATGTGCACGTTTCAGAACAGAAAACGCTGTTAGCTATGCCTTGTTACGCCGGATGCTAAAATCATGAAGATGGCACTGACTGGCGAAGACTTGGATGGGGTTTGACTGCCATTAAGACATGCATTTGCAGCAGGTGACATCTCCCATCCTCTAAACAAATGTTCAGAGGTTTGTCCTTGCCTTTCCCAAGTTTATTCTGTTCAGAGGATTGTGGGCATGTTCGAGCCCCGTCTTAGGCATTAACCCCAACAGTTCAATTTTCCACTTCTGCTTTGCGGAAAAGCAAAATGAATTATTCAACCTAGCAGAGAAAAAAAGTTGCCGAGAGGCTTCCCGGGGAACGGAACTCATAGCCCAAACAATGTCGAAACACACAAGACGCTAGTCGAAAACAGCACGCAATGGTGAGGTAGGTCAAAAATTAATGCAGTGGCACTGTTCACGAACTCACAGGCAAGGACAATGACCTGCTTGATATGGTGCCCTTTCAAAAAGAGGCCACCATGACGCGGTCTTATGACAACTATCCGGAAACGATGTCATCCGCTCAATTCATAAGCTTGCGGAAACAGTACTGCCATGCTTCCTTGCGACGCTGGAATATCACTTTTAGAGCACACCGCTGCGGCACCACTTCATGCGTTGAGCAGCCAACTCAACCTCTGCAGTCACAAATATTTCCTATGCATATGAGTGAAACCCTTACCTAATGGTCATACAGCATCCGTACCGAAGTCCGTCCGTGTCATTCGTTCAATGCCAAGCATGCTCACGTGTTATGTAGTATCTTAACAAACAGCTGACCAATTACGGATGAACTACAACTGCACAGCACACATGCCGAGTACCCAAACAAATCTTCCGTTCCTAGCGGTCGCGGAAACGATGTCAACGTCGGCAGTCGTGCGACAAAGGCTCGGCACGTAACTTAGACGACCAGTAAACGAAAGGATTCGTACGAACAAGCGCAAAACGTGTACTTTTAGTGAAATGGACATATCAATCGTGACCAGATACGTCAAAGCACATTGTGTCGGCACCGCGTCGCATAGGCAGCACTCACGCGTTGCGGCGCTCCTTGCCACTTGCGCAACGATCCAACTGCATTCTCTCCACTGGATTTACATATTAAACAGCGCAACAACTCGCTGCCCAAACAGTCTGGCTGGGCGGACGCGTACGAAAACCACAAATTCACTTACAGCCTGCAATCAAACACGTGCGCCGGTCCTTCCTCCGTGTGCGCCGGCTTCGCGTCTCTTGTCTTTGCATGTCTCAGTGTTGCTAAGTCACAGGGAACGACGCAGCCCACCTTTGGAGAAAGTGTAGGCAACATATGGAGGAAAGAAAACACTTAGGCACGGAGGAAGACACTTAGGAGAGGCCCTGACGTCACTCATTGTGAAGCCATGGTTATAGTGTACTAGAATATTCTAGTACACTTTACTCTAGTAGAAGGAGGCAGGAAAACTTTTTTGACAGAGATTGCTGCTAGGGTGGCTAGAATAGGGAGGTGCGATGAGCGCAGCGCTTTTCGCTTGCCGGAGAAGGCCCTTCGGCGCGCCGATGCCGCTAGGGGCGCTGATGGCAGCGGCGTGAGTGTATTAGAATATTCTAGTACACTATAACTACAGCTCAAGGTGCTAGGCTACAAGGGGAGGAAGCTATTGAGTATATAATAACAACGGTCACCGAAAAATCTCATCACAGAAGTGCTTTATGCACCACAATAGACAAGGATGAATCAAGTGGTGCAATGGCTCCATTTTCACATGGAGAGTGGGAAGGGGCTGAGAAAAGGGTTCCTAGAAGTACATCAACAGGCCAAGATGGCATTCCAATTATGCTGATAAAAACATTAGGTCCGAAGTCTAAGCAGGCTTTGAGAGAGGCAGTGAGCAAAATAATAATCGATGAAGAAGTTCCCGATGGATGGAAAATTAGCAGGATGAGCATGATCTATACAGGAAGGGGGACAAAGCTGAAATAAACAACTACCGTCCTTTAACAGGGACATCAGTGGTCTACAGGCTGGCGATGCAGATTATGAAGGAAAGACTGCAGGCACGGATAGAGGATAAGGGAGTGCTGGGGGAACTGCAGAATGGGTTTCGGAAACACAGGAGGTTGGAAGACAATCTGTTCTCACTGACGCAGTGCATCGAAATAGCAGAAAAGGAACACAGGCCCCTGTGGCTAGCATTTTCGGATATCAAGGGAGCACACGATAGCGTGCTTCAAGAGGAATTGTGGGGAATACTGGACACACTAGGCGTGGAAGATGGAGTCACTAATTTTTTAAAGGATATCTATAAAGGTAACAAGGTAGTTTTAAAGTGGGAAAAACAGGTATCCAAGCCAGCAGCGGTAAAACGGGGGCTTAGGCAGGAGTGTCCCCTGTCACCCTTATCATTCACGATGTACCTACGATTAGAGGCCAAATTAGAGGAAAGTGGACTGGGCTTCAACCTTTCTTTCGTCAAACAAGAAAACTCATTGATCAGGCACTACCAGCATTAATGTACGCAGATGATATAAAGCTAATGGCCGACAACAAGGAAGATTTGCAGAGATTGATCGACATCTGTGGTAATGAGGGAGATAGATTAGATTTCAGATTCAGTAATGAAAAATCGACAGTCATGATTTTTAATGATAATGAAGGTAGTGCACTTAGGATACGGGAGGTCATGCTAGAGATAACAGATAAGTACAAATATTTGGGCGTATGGATAAGAAATGGGATCGAGTACCTAAGGGAACACGAAACATACGGGACGACTAAAGGTAACAGGAATGCAGCGGTAATGAAAAACAGGGCACTGTGGAATTACAGTAGGTATGATGCTGTGAGAGGAATAAGGAAAGTGGTCATGGTTCCTGGTCTGACGTTTGGCAATGCGGTGTTGTGCATGGCATCAGAAGTTCAAGCAAAATTAGAAATTAAGCAACGTGGAATAGGTACCCTATCGGAAAAAATGCCATGGCGGATACTGGAAAATATGGTGGGCGTAGTGGAAATAGTAGTGGGCATAGTGGGAATTATGATGGATATGGTGGGACGTAGTGGGACATACTGGGTGGTATGGTGTACAGATGATGGGAAAAGTGGAAATGATGGTGGAAAGCAGAGGCTAGATAGTGGGCAATAATGGGACACACTGCCCACCATTGCGATAATGCTGGGAAGCCCTAAGCTAAGCACCACCCACCATATGCCCTAAGCATATGGTGGGTGGTGCTTATTATGGTGGGCCACATAGTGTACCAAGCTGAGAAACTCTTCCCACCATTGCGATAATGCTGGGAAGCACTAAGCAGATGATGGGTGCTGCTTGTTATGGTGGACCACGTGGTGTACCAAGCTGAGAAGCTCTGCCCACCATTGCGATAATGCTGGGAAGCAGTAAGGAGTTGATGGGTGAGCTTATAATGGCAGGAAATTTATATAGTGTACCAAACTGGGATCTGTACACTACATGTTCTACCACCATGATTTCCACCAAAGGTTAGGCCTACCGACCGAGCCCGTACAATTGTGTTATCCGTGCTTCCGGGTTTCCGAATACACGATTTAGACGATTAAGAATGACAATACAGCGCAGCTATGGCATCACTTAACCTAAAGGAAGCGTTTTTCATTGTGTATGTTGTCCGCTCAAGAAGCAACAAACATCGATGCGACACGATTCAAGCACTCCCAGAGAACGTACGTCTCTTCTCACCGACAGCCGCCGGTCGCACTCGCCAGCACTTCTCTAGCTTTTGTGCGAGAACTCAGACGTGGTGAACCAATATGATAGCGTAGTGTTTCCGGCACACTGCATTCGTTTTGGCCAAGCCGTTATGTAGTTGTTGCTTTAGTGAAAGAGCTACAGCATTGCGCTGGCACGACCGCCTTCTACATTGCGCGAAAAGCATCCCAATACTCAATCAAATAAATTAGGCGGGCGTATCTATGGAATGAGCCTAAAAGCACCATAAAGCGTGAGCAAATGTCGCCCTTTAGAATGAGCACGAAACGGATATTAAACTTGGCAGACCCCGCCGGTAAACTGTTGCTGCTCCCCAGTCCACTTGGGTTTTTTTTTTTTCTTGCAGTTGTAAATTCTAAAAAAAAAATAGCACTGGTGCCATTAACACAGTGGCAATCGTTACAGGCAGCAGTTGCTTGTGTTTAATAAATGTGCAATATTTACTAGCAGGTGCAGCTCTCGTCTATGTCGTGTACACGACGAACATAACTGAAGTTGAACCGTAAGTTTGTATACGAACTAACTATTTAACGCACACCCTACCTCATGTTGGAATGGCGCAATTTTACTTACCTTGGGGGACAAATTGTCTTATCTGTAAAAAACCAGAAAATATTGACCATGTTTTCTTACATTGTTGGGAAGAAGTGTATTTTTGGGATGTACTTGAAAGTACGTTACAGAAAGAATTACCTTTAAATTCATATGGTATAAGATTTCTGCCAATAGTGGACGAAGAGGGAATGCCTTTTGATTTGATTATGCTATGTGGACTTCACTGTATATGGCGGGCCCGTATGGCGGGTTTTTATCGCGATCAGGATGCACGGCCTGCACGAATGTATTTCCGTGAATGTATGGCCAAGTACGTTGAACTGCAGAAAACTCAGGAGATTTTACCTGAGTGGTTGTCGAGGGGTGAGCCCTTGGCAGCACTTAAGGAATTTTAAGTTTCTGTCGGACTGTTACTGCTTGTTTTTGTTTTGCTTGTGGTTTGATGTATGCGCCTGTAAACAGGCAATAAAGCAAAAAAAAAAAAAGGAATGGCGCAGTGGTTAGTGTCTCCGAATGGGAATCCGCAGGTTGCACGTTCGATCCTCCGTGGCACCTTATTATTTTTTTTTAACGGGACGGGTGTTTTTTTTTTTTGTACCGTTTTTATAGGATTCTTTTTTATTTTTTGTGGCAGCTCGTCACGGTGATTCTGACGCCATTTCGCGCTCAAACGTTGCCGGCACAACAGCACCCATCATATATCCCACCATGCGCCATGGTGGGCGTTTCCCACCATTCACCTACTACATTAATCCACTATAATGGTGGGTGGTGGTTAACACCATGCCCACCATTCTTTTTTTTTTTCGATAGGGTAGGCTTGCCTTAGGAGGTCACGGTAGTACACCAAATCAGGGAGTACAAGGTAATATGGGATGGACATCATTTGAGGGCAGGGAAGCTAGCAGGAAGATAAAATTTGAGAAGCGATTGAGAGAAACGGGGGGGGGGGGGGGAGCGTTGGGCTAGGAAGGCGTTCAGCCACTTGTACATGAAGAATGTCGATACAAAATAGAGGAAGCTAACCAGAAAATTACTGGTAAATACTTGGAAAAGAGCAGGGGGCCAAACCAAAAAGAATTATCGGTTAAGAAGAAGATGAAGGAAGCTGATACCGATATGTAGAGAATCGGCATGATTAAGAAGTCCGCACTAGAGATCTATCGAACTTTTAAGCAGGAAATTGCCAAGGAAAATATCTATGATAATACTCGCGGTAGTTCTTTACTGTTTGAGGTCAGGACGGGAGTATTGCGAACCAAGACATGTCGGGCCAAATGCGAAGGGGTAGACATGGTATGCAGTGCATGTGGAGAGGAAGAAGAAACTGCCGAACACTTGTTAATGTTCTGTAAAGGGCTTCACCCTCTAGGTCAGGGTGATGGCGCAGAGTTTTTCAAAGCACTGGGGTTTAGGGACAAGGAGGGCAAAATAGACTTTAAGCGGGTAGAATGAACTAGAAGGAGGTTATTTGATTGGTGGCTAAAGTCTAGGCACGAGTGAAAATTAAACCTTTCACTGCAAAGTACGGATCCTCAACCTCACTATTTAAAGGAAAAAAAATAAATCTAGTTTTTGGTTCATTAAGTATTACGGCTTGGTGGCGCTAGCCACCGCCTGGTCTAAAGAGTACAGCCATATCCATCCATGAGTAGTGAGCGGCGCACTTCGCAGGGTTTCCCTCGGGTGCGCTGCTTTTTTTTTTCGCAGGCGGTATAGCTGCTTTACAAGTACTTCATTTATCGGTGGTTGCATTGGGTTTCCCTGAAATGCCTGAAGGTATCAACGACAAAAAAAAAAGTAGACCCAGCGTCGCTGAATTATGCTTGTCCGCAAAACTTAATGCTTCACCTCAGCCTCTCGAAGAGTCTTAAGGGTGGCAACGTGGATCACTTAATGGAGGAGTCTCTCTGTCTGTAGAAAAAATGCTGCATAAGATGGAATAAAATGAGGA